CCAAAACCGAGAAAGCGTTTTTTTATCTTAACATAAAAAACTTTTGTTTAAACAAATCCATTTTTTATGCAGAATTACTGATCATTAGTAGGAATCCGATTATATGTTGTATTTTGTTTTATATTTTTTGCATTCTTATACGTTTTTTTCGTTTTTAAGTCTTGTAAAATAAAATTCTGGTAAAATTTCTTAATATTAGTTTAAATTAGCATCTGTGCAAGGCAGTTCAAAAGGGCGCCCTCATAATTTATTTTAGCTAATTTTCGTATTCGATTCTCATTTCATTTATTTATTTTATTTTATTGATTTTTGCTTTACCGTTACTTCATTTGTAATTTACTATTTTTATTCATATTTATATGTATTTAGACGATCAGCTAAGCTTCTTAAGTCATCTAGGTTACGAACATCTTCTCAATCAACACAAAAAAGTAAACTCTATTTAGGTCCTAACATTACATATTGCCATTCATAATTATTAAATGTTTTTGTATTTTAAAAACAGATTGCAATTGCATTTTGAGAAATGGAAAAAACGTAAAATTGAAAATAAAAAGTTTAGAAATATTAACTTGATAGGCCCGCCAATTTTAGTCTATTTTAGCCCATGTTTGGAATTTTGCATTCGAAGTTTTTTCAGTCATAACGTATTGTTTCATATAAACATATTTGTTGTAACATTTTCAGATATTTGAGAAATAGTTGTAATTTTATTAGCAAGTAATTGCGAAAATTCAATTCAAAATACTTTTCGAAAATCTGGGACAATCCGGGACAAAAGATTGAATTCCGGGACAAATATTGCTCTGAGAAAAACTCGGTGCACAAAGGTCGAAATCGGGACGTATGGTCACCTTGCATGTACTCCAATATATTATTAAATGTATACTCTAAGCCATTACATTACTTTTAAAACTGGTACGGAACCTTAATGCATTGACTGATACCAAAATCATACTTCTAAAATCACACATTCATGTTCTGTTACTACGTTAGATTTTCATTTCGGTTTCGCACACATTACCCTCATTAACTAATTTTGGTTTTCTTTCATAACACAAGTAAATTAACAAAACAGTAAACGCCACACCACAAATTAACCATAGATTTTTTCGAATTAACCGAATTAACCAAATTAACCACAAAACGCAGCGCGCCAAATCGCTGAGCGATCTCCGTAAGATCGATGCATGCTATAGCGATAGAAAGGAACTCATTCATACTGGAGTCTCCGTCAAGGCGCTGGTAAGATTTTTTATTTCATTTATTAATTATTTAATTTGTTAATTTGTATTTTGCTTATAACTATTATTAGTATTATTTAGCATTAATATTTATAATTAATCCGTAGTTGATATTAAACACTTTTCGTATAACGTGATACAATTACTTAGAGAAATGTCATAATTTTGTGATGCTGTAATTGAGAACATTTGTAACCATGTTGATATGAAGTTACTCTACTTAAGCTGTGTATTATCCTTTTACAACTGAACAGTCATTAGTGCAGAACATACGGTCAATTTATTCAAATTACGACCTGAGAAATATTACTTCAAAACGTTGACAATGTGTCGACATCCTTTACTTTTTTCCTGGTGCGGCTGTCGCACACTGCCACATTTATTTTAAATCTATCCCCCAAGCCATAACACAAAACAAAGCCATTAGACTCTATCTCGCGGCACCCAGATACAGTAATATCCCGCTTAACGCTGTTTCGTTTTAGCGCTCTTTCATTTCAACCCAGGTTTCGAAGGGGCAAATGTGGAAGATGTCGAAGAATTAATTCAATATTCAGCGCAGTCTTTCTAATATTGAGCTCAGGGAATTAACTGAAAAACAATTTTGTTGACATCAGTGATTCATAGGAAGAGCATAAAGAACTTTCGATGACGTTTGTAAAAAGGAGTTTATCTACTGTAACTGAAATAATGGATCTATTCATTGAAAATTTGACAGGAGATCAAAAGTAAGACATGATGGTCGAGATGCTCTATCCTTGTATGAAGAACTTTTAAGAGAACGCAAAAGAAAAAGGCAAATAACATTAGATGCTTTCGTCACAAAAGTTAACTAAATATGACTTGAAATTTTATATGTTTTTCCAAGAATATTCGTTTTGTTGTTTCAATTTTGTTTTTATTTTGGCAAGAAATAATAATGTAGTATTAATTTGGGCTTTAAGAAATAACTGTTAGGTTTTATTTTTATTAAAAATAACATACTTTTTAAATTTAATTCCTAACCAATTTTCTAGCCATCTTCCCCTAACCCCAATAATTTCATGTAAAGATAGCTTCGTTTATGGCCGTTTCGCATTACCCTCTAATTTGATGGAACGTATCCCCCGTGTTAAGTGAAGTATTACTGTACGTACCAAGTTGGCTTCTTCATCAGGATACAAATATGAAAACGGTGCAGGAGGAAAAACATCGATTCGCTAAGAAACATGCAGAAAACTAGCAAACAGCCCAACGACCTTGTCTGTATATTGCTAGACGACAACTTCCCAAAAAGGCTAAAGCGCAAACAAACACCCGCTACAACTGGAGTATATAGAGCAATATGCTTCCATCACCATTTAAGTTATTATAGTGAGGAGGATGTAACACAGATTACTTTCACAAATAATCACCATCAATTACAGCCCTACATTTAATTTATACCAATTAGTAATTAACTAAGGGACCAATTCTGCCGCATAACTGAAAAATGTTATGACAAGGCCATGTTATGCTCCAACTTCCATACATTATGCTATTAAATCGTACTGAATACTGTCAAAATGTCATGTATTTGCTGTGCATTTAGGCGTTTCACACATAAACTGCAACGTCACTCGTATGTTATGAAGCTAGGTCAGAAAGACCTTGTTATCTAAAATCGTTTTTTTAACTTTTGTGCGGTTTTTAGGTTAAGTTTTTTATCTGAGACTGCACAGGAACTACATGGCTTTTGTCAACATTTAGTGTGAAAAGTTTCTCATAGCATAGCCTTGCCATAACATTGGTCTGTTATGCGCCAAAATCGGTCCATAAATGTCCATACGGACAGATGTAAATCTTTTATGTATAATAAAAAAAATCTACCCCCACATTACCACACATAGTAGATGTAACTAGTTAGTGAATCCTACCCGCAGGAGAAGGGAACACTGAATTACTGTTTTTTATGATTTTTGAACATTTTATTCAAGAGGACAGTTGGTTTATTCGTATTAACACTTTTATGCAACATAACACGTATATTATAAGCATATTTGTAATAAAATTGAAACTATTTATTCCTAGTTTATTACTTTGGTCCTAATAATGACATATTGATCTTCTGGTGTAAGCTGGTCCTTCTTGTCCTTCAAACAAGTCTAAATGACAATTGTTGCTTTCAACCTCACAAATCATTACAACTTCTCACACTTTCATGATAAATAAAAATAGACAATATGTCGACAGCTTCTATTTTCCCTAATTTTAATTAAAACGTTTCAGCATAGGAAATAGGTCCAAAGAAACCGCAGTCAACTTGTTAAACTGCGTTATTAGATTACTGCTTCGGTTTTCATGAGATAAATCCTGGTTTGATTTTCCATTCTAGAATTTTATTATATCAGTTGTACCTATTTTGTTTCAAACGTCGAGCTATCTTATGACCATTTACGTTATATCATGTTACTAATTTAGCAAAAAACAATTGTTTTTACCAATACTCTGAGAGATCTGACAAAATTAGGTATAACCTTCCAAAGTTGTCAAATTTCTTGGATTCTTACCTTAAATATGACTTGAGATTCCTATAATTTTTAGTCTTTGATATGAAATCTAATACAACTAAATGATTGTTAGCTGTGATCGTTTTATCCAAAAAACTACGCGAAAAATCTCTTTGCATTACACATCCCGCACATTGGGTGTCCAAAGTTCTTCAGACTGCGTCTTTGTCAACTTTCTTGAATTATTACTAAAAAGGCTGCGCTGTTGTCAATCGGACTTACCTTAAAACTTTATTTAATTGATTGATAATCACGTTATACGAAAATGCATACTGCTAATTCTACATTAAACCATTAATATTTCGTATTAGTAGATATAATAAATACATACAACTAATATATTAATCTGCGTTGAAGTTGCTTCTTAAATATCTGTTTACTATTACAATATTTGTTTCAAAACTCGATTATTGTGAAGGAGTTTAAGGAAAAAATAGGCGAAAAGGTAATAATACATTTCAGAATAATTTGTACAGTGTGATATCCGTAAACTTATTTCTGTCTGGTAGAACATATGTTTAAAATGTTGTCTTATGTCACAAAACTAAAATCGTTACATTAGAATTTAATTTAAAGAATTGGATTCAAATATTTGATTAAGCGGCGGAGTTAAGCGGCTTTTGATATTCGATTTGATAAATTTAATATTTTACTGGTCTAATATACTTGTTTTTTTAGCGTAACTTTGATGTTTTCCGGGTAGAAATTTTGCAAAACATGTTTTGGCGCTGGCGAATTGTCTCTGAACCTTCTTTATTAGAATCGACTAAATTTTGTTTGCATTATTTTACGTGTACTATAATATAAAGTTATAATTACCGAATCAAAACATTTTTACAGCATTCCAGCAAAACTTTCCACGTAGATTCCCAAAATAAGTAGGTAAATAGCCAACGCACACTTGAAGTGTCTGAAAACAACGTGGTTATTTTTTGGCAAAAGATCAAAGATGTTTAGATAGAAAACAACGTGTGATTCGTCTAGAATAAGTCAAAGTATAAATAACTAAGTTATGACTAATGCAACTAGTGAATATTTGTCTGTGCTAAATAAAGTCGAATTGGATCCAAAATAGATTAGAAAATACCAGTTTAGTAAGAGATAATTTTACTTATCTTGGGAAATAACGCAATTGTTTCTGTAATATTTTTTATTGAATTAAACCATTACATCTTAATCCTAAATTCCGATAAAGCGTAAATCATACTGCGATTTGGCGAACGCGGTCAAGGCAGAATGCAACACTGTCCCATCACCGTTGGCATCGCCTGTCCGTCACCAAATACGTCTGATGTCGTCCCAAAGTACGAAGGCGACCAACAGTTATCATCATCAGCCGGTGAAGAGAAGAGTTTCGATCACCCAATTCGATATGGTGAGAAATCACCCTCATGGTCAAACTGGTGATTGGGGTAAATGTTGGATGGTTGCACTGGGCTACATAATTATTTTATGGGTTGTTTATAAATAAGGAACATTCTATGGTATATTATTGGAGCATTATATGTTTGTAAATAATAAAGTAGTATTCCATAAAATTATTGATCAACTCAATTCAATGATAAATCACCACCAAGGGCAAATCGGTAACCAGGGAGAATTTAGGGCAATTGGTGATACCGTAAATGGGAAATATTTGGGAGTAGTGAAGATGGAATTCAATTTTTTTTATCAAACTTAGTTCTATATAGTAAAATAGTTCCATCTAGGTGAAATCGATAATTGGTGGGAATGTTGGGTGGATGCACGGGGATACAAAATTTGTAAATAACGAACAACCACATGGATTGGTAGATGTTTTGTAAATAATCCTGAATGTGAGATGAAATTCGTTATATTGATTAAATTCAATTTCATTTAGTCTTGAATCACCATCAAGGTGATTGGTTAAAAATCACCACCACCATTTTGGCGATTGGGTTGACTGTTGGGCATTTATTTATTTGTTACCGTTTGTGAGAAAATTTTGAATAATTAGTGATTGCACATTAGGCTTAAGTCAGTGATTTGTTTAAGTATTAAGCAAATTGTAACTGCACTTGGATAATGCGCTGTTTTATTATTCGATGGTACAGTTTGCGAGTTACTTGTAAATAAGAAAAATTGAATAGGGAAAATTAGTCTTTTGCATCATATTGATTTCTTAAGCAGTCGGTGGTGCAGTGTGCCGAATTTGGACCAAAATTATTTTTTCCTAAAAATAGATTTAAAATTCGTCTTCTATCAAGGATTCTTCTTTTCTACGGTAGAAAAGACACTGGGGAATGCATACACAACAATTTTTCTAAATACTAGTTAGCTTACGTCTATCTTCGGCAGAGCACTCTTTTTAACATTTAATTATTATTAATTAAATTAAAAATTTTAATTAGTAGAATTCTTTGAATATAATCCAAATTTCTTTATGATATTTCAAAATCTTTTTCATTTGATTAAATTAAAGTGCAAGTTTAATAGTATTACATCATCGTGCAATTGAAATCTTCATATTCATCCAATTAATTTTGTCATTCTATTAATTTTAAGCTTGATAATTTAATTTAATTTATTTTAACTACTGGGCGCCCTATCATAAATAAATTTACATTTATTTGTACATATGCCTGAGATATAAAGGTTCTGTTCACAAATAAATTGAATATGTTTTATAATATTATTGAATAATTGAAGATCATTCTTTTCCTGTATAAACATTGATCATCAACTAGTTATAAGAGGTAGAAATATTGCACTCTAAAACGCATGGTTAGTAACAACGTCGTTATTTTGAGATAAAATTGTGAAACTTGGGTTGCACTTGTTTTGCTGAAGTAAAAAGCTGCTTCTTAAAAATTGTTAAATTTGCGAGATATATTTATGATAAATCGCACATTAGAACATTTATTTATATGTGCATTTATTTATAGGCTATAGTGCATATATAAATAAATGTTCTAATGCTATAGTCTAAAATATTTTCAAACTAAAATTAAAACCTTTTGCAAGTATAAGTATTTTTATTGTTTGAAAATACTTACGTCGAGATTTTGTAAGCTAATGTTGCTGCAAATAAAATACATAACGCATTCTTTTTTATTGGGTTGCTATTATTTCTTCAAAAATATTTGAATTTTTAAAAATAAAATTATGCTTTTGTAAAATGCACTTCAAAGCTTTAAATAGCTTAAGCAATCTTTACAAAAAGGTGAGTCATTAATATTGCATTTTGCACTTATCAGACAGATCTACTAACAAATTTTCCATCTTTTCCAGGTTTATAATATAAATGATTTGTTTTTATGATATATTTATATGTTTATTGTAAATAATAGCACTTGTTGGAGTATGCTGGGAGCACTTTTATACATACAGAACATTTTGCACATTGGGTTTAAATATATATTCTTTTTTATATATTAGTTGTTTTTAATATGAATTTTGATTATTTTTTACAGAAATCCAGCTTCAACAAATTTGATGCTTTGCAGAAGAAAAGTTTGGCCAACTCAAAATCAAGCAGTGACCTGAAATCACCAGATGGTACTAATGTAAGTATTAACACATAACACATTTCTAAATTGCATGAAATACATATTAAATATAATTTGAACTAACAGTAAGTCAGCATCAGTATTTAACTTATATATGTACTCAAGGCTAATAATTTTTAAGAAATAATTGTTTATGATTGGCCATTATCTTTTAACACATTTTTCTGCAACTGGCAAAGTCAAACTATTTTAAATATTATTATTTTGCAGGGATTGGAAAATGAAAAGAAATGCAAAGGCTGCTCTCGTGTTGTTTTCCAGATGGAACAAATTAAAGCCGAAAACAGAGTATATCACAAGAACTGTTTCAGATGCAAAGATTGCAATAAACAACTCACGTATGTTTACATTTCATATATTTTTATAGTAACATATTTTATAAAATTTATTATTATTAAAAATTCTGAACTGATGTTATTCAAAACCACAAGTTTAAATAATCGATTGATTCATTGCATTTAATTGTCCCATTATTTTATTTTGAATAACGAAAACAATGGCAACATTACAAAATACACTCTATTACAAAATTTTTTTTTTCAATTATACTTTTCACTTTGTATCAAATGTTTACCATGAAAAATGTAATGTGGATTATACTTCTTTCTTCGTATGTATTTATGTATCTCATATTTTTAATAAATCTTCGACTGCATTTATATCACATACTTGAATATGATGAAAACTTGCTACTGAAAAATTCTGGATGTTTTTTTGAATTTTTGTTTCACTCATTTCAGTGTGGATACATATGAAAGCCACGAGAGCGAACTATATTGCAAGCCTCACTTTAAAGCATTGTTTGCCCCGAAGGTGATCGAAGACTCTCAGCCCAGTAAGTACTTTTATTATATTTTATAACATACATTTATATTCGAAAATAATAACGTTCGATCTAAAGAGATAAATTATTAGCAAATCTAGTTTGCATTTCAATACAATTGTATGTAAAATGATTGAGCCACTTACTGCTTCCAGCAATCCAGTTAAAAATATTGAAATAGAGTGATATAATAATATACAATAATATTGTTTTGTCTATCAATCTTTATTTTTAAATAAACTACCAATATATTGTTTAATATCACTGATAAAAAATTGAAAAACATATAAAATTATACGCACACATTTGAAAAGTTGATAATTGTGTATTACGTTTACGATTCATTTATAAGAAATTCATTGTTAAGTTAATGAGGATGCCAGTTTTAATTCGAATGTTTATCTTTGATACATTTGTAATTCATTATTCTATTTTGACAAATAAGTTAATGTTATATTATACATATTGTTCTTAATTGAGTAAACCAAAATTGACTTCGAAAACATCAAATCATTTTCACTTTTTCAAAATAATACTTCTCACGGTCCAAAGAATTTCATATCAACATATAGAGCTGAGAAAATTCTTGCATTATGTAGGTAAATGGCTCAATCTTTACAATATGATATCCTCAAGCAATACAATCAAACGATCATAAACCTCAAACATAAGAACAACAACAGTAAATATAAAATATTAAAAGGCAATGATAATTATTATATATAACCCAACAGCAATATACCTGAAAACAATTTGATCTCTTTGATCAAATTGAAAGAACTCAGTATATTCTATACTGTGAAAGATTCCACACTGTGAGTTGCTTAAGGAGTAGTTGCTCATTTTAATAACTCTAGGTTTAGATCAACTCTAGAGTCAGTAATAAAAATATGCAAATGCGTTAAAAATGGTTTCTAACAAGCAAATAATTGATAATTTAAAACATACCTTGACAGCAGCTTCTATTGACATTTTGCATTATATGATAAAAAATAAAGTAGACTTATTATTTCACAATCCGTTCTGTCAATATATTTGTATTTATTTATTAATACAAATAAATATGAATCTATGACATGTTTTTATTAATGTTTTGAGAATTATAGTTTCTTTTGGAAGAATGCTGATTTAACACTTCTTGGTATTTCATAGTTATCAAATGGTATAATTCTATTTATTAAGTCGTTTGTTTAAACATCCTTGTTTTCCTGGAAGATAGGTTCCATAAAAAATCCACTTTTTATGGAAAACTGTGGTAAACGAAAATTACTATGAAAAGCCCTTTTGCCAGTTTTTAATATAATAAATAATAAATACATTGAATGAAAAATTAATATTATAAACTTCCCGTAGGGTAGTTATAGTAATGGGCCGAAAATTGAAAATGAAAATTTTTGCATATCTTCACGTTTTGAAGGTTTCTGAACATTTTGGCATACATAAAAAAATGGATGTGTGTGTGTGTTTTGTATGTCCGCTATTTTTCGTCCTCGTTTTCTGGCGCACGAATTAACCGATTTGAATGGTTCAAAAAACATTCGATTCTTATTGATAGGGAGAAGAGGTGATTAGTTTTTGGCAAAGGCAGGTCCAACCATTTCAAAGATACAGAGCTAAATGTGCAAAAAATGGCAGTTTTTGAGAGAATTAAGCGTCCGATTTGAATGATTCAAAGAACTTTCTGCTTGTTTTTTTATTATTTTGATTATTTACACATATCGGGAAGTTCATGTAACTAACCAACTAGTTTATGCCTATTTTTACTTAATATTAGGGGGCGTCCATTAATCACGTGAGCTAGTTTTTAAGGATTTTTGGACCCTCCTCCCCCTTGGTGATACGTGGTGATATTCAAAATTACCCCCCTCCCTCACCAAGCATCACGTGTATTTTTAGTTACGTGAAAAAACAAAATTTTTTTATTCTTTTTTTTGAAAATGTTTGAATTTTTAAAAAAAAATCAGTTAAAAAATAAATACACGTGATATCTTATAATACCCCCCCTCCCCAACGTGATATTTCGTGATTTTTTGTCTAACCCCCCTCCCCCTAAAAACCTCACGTGATTAATGGACGCGCCCCCTTACATATTATTTTTATAGTCTTTTAATAATTATATATAATTATATACTTTTATAAAGTATTTCTCAAATAAAATTGTTGATAAAAATTAAGGGAGGCGCAACATTTTTTTTATTACAGCGGGGGCACTGCGCGAAAAAGGTTTTGAAACCACTGTATTAACAGGAAACGCTACGCGCGTAGCGCATTTTTCCCTACTTTAATTAATTTTTATAATTAAACCACTTCATAGGCCTATAATATTTTATGGGGTTCGGTTTGACTCAAAATCTCAGAAGAGTAAACCTGAGGGCATAGAAAAAGAAGCATTAAAGGTTACCTTGTAAGTTAATATTACTCTCATGACAAAGAGATATTACCCCCATTTGGACAACTAGGTAAGGAAATACAATAAACTAGTGGAGCGCATGGCATCGTGCCTTAAGGCAAATTGTTGGAACTTCCCGTACCAAAAGGTATTATATTTTTAAAAACGATTAACATTTTTGAAAAAAAAAATACTTCCGAAAAATTAGATTTTTGAGAAACTATAAATTTGATAAAAATTACTTTTTTTAAAAAAAAATATTTTTTTTTATATTTTGACATATTTTGGAAATTCTGAACTTTTTTTCAAAGCAATCGTACTGCTTTAACTGCATAGAGACAAATGTCAAAGCGCGTAAGCGCCGCGTCGCCGTCAAACGGATAAACATTGGTACGGAACCCATAGGAATGTAAACAAAATTTATACTCATTGTTAAAATCTCAAAAAATATTTGATAATTTGATGTGCATATTTGACCGCCAAATGGCATTTTTTAACTTCCCGTAGGGTTAGTTATTGTAATGGGCCGAAAATCGGAATTGAAAATTTTTACATTTCTCGACGTTTTGAAGGTTTCTGAACGTTTTGGCATACTTCAGAAAGAATGGATGTGTGTGTGTGTGTGTGTGTGTGTATGTATGTATGGATACAAATTTCCAGTCACGTTTTCGGGCGCACGGATCAACCGATTTGAATGGTTCAAAAAACATTCGATTCCTATTGATAAGGAAAAGAGCTGATTAGTTTTTGGCGAAGGCAGGTCCAGCCGTTTTGGAGATACGGAGCAACGAGTGCAGAAAATAGAAATCGACTCTTTGAGAGAACGGAGTATCCGATTTGAATGATCTAAAAAACATTCAATTAGTAATGATTGGGAGAAATGTTTATTATTTTTTGGCAAAGGCAGGCCCAGCCATTTCGAAGATACGGAGCTAAATATGTAAAAAATGGCAGTTTTGGAAAGAACTAAGCGTCCGATTTAAATGATTCAAAGAACTTTCTGCTTGTCTTGAGAAAATAATTGATTTTGGAAAAAACAATTTTTTTTTTTTTAGTTTTTTTGTACCTATATCGAAAATAATTACAATAATGTTACAATATTTATAATAATCTATTTGAAAACATTCAGTATTCCTCGAACATTTTGTTACGGTACGGGAAGTTCCAGCAATTTGCCTTAAGGCACGATGCCATACCCCCCACTAGTTTTTACCTTTTTTGTTAGATATCCGAAACCGCTAGACCTGCCTTCATGAAAGTTTGATCAATTCTTCATCTTGTCAATACAAGTAAAATGTTTTTTGAATTATTAAAATCGCACGCTCCGTTCTCTTAAAAACTGAGTTACCGTTTTTGGCACTTTTTGCCCCATATCTTCAGAACGGCTAGTCCTGCCTTTGCCAAAAACTAATCAGCACGTCTCCTTATCAACACGAATCGAAATCGTCGACGAAAATTTGTATCCGCACACACACATACACACACGCACATACATCCATTTTTTCTAAGGTATGCCAAAATGTTCAGAAGTTTTTGAAACGTAAAGATATATAAAAATTTTCATTTTCGATTTTTTTGCGATTACTATAACTTGCCCTACGGGAAGTTAAAAAAAATAATTTAAAAATACGTACTTTTTATTTTCTACTCTTTTTGGGGTAATTTATCCCCAGTTTCCCGATCACTGATCTTTAGTTACACATTTTAACAATTTGTTAAACACAAGAAAAATGTCCGATACGACTTTGTATAAAATAGTAAAACTATTGTGTGTACTGCCTTTAGTTTTTAATGTCTTTTTGCAAAGCGATATGTTGGTATCACTGCGCATCGCGTGTGGTATGACCTTTCTTTATCTTCAATGTGTTATGAACGCAAAATGTCAATTAGTTGTTTTTGTTTGTATATTTTAGGTTCGTATCAACTCGTTCATTGAATATGTTTAAAGTATTGATTTATTGTTTGACTCATTGTGTTGAACTTATTCAATTGTTATACATTTACAGTTAAAAGCTTTTAAAATTACTTTTTTAGGTTATATATACTACCATATTCTTGGAACAATTATTTTGCAATATTAAATGCGTTCTACAATAGGAGATTTTTAATCATAATGTACGTATATTAATGAGAAGAACCAAATCTTTAATAAATAAAAGAAATTTAGCTCCGGAAGAATAATATACTTATGAAATTTCATTCTCTTCTCATTGAGGATAATAAAAACATAAAAACATAAAACTGCCACAACATGGGTGGGTATTGAATAGTGAATATAATCTATGCATACAACTTTATTTGTCAGAGGTTATGATCGTTTATTTGTATGATGCGAGGATATTGTTATTATGTATTACTTGATATTTCTTTATATCTAAAATTTTATTTCTCTCAGAGTTTGAGAGTACTACTATAAATATCGATACTTGGACCATTTATTTTGAAAGTGGTGCAGAAAAAAGAGAGTTATCATGTAATATTTTTGGTACAATAATACATCATTATATTTTGTTCAATATTATGTTATATTTTTATGTCCAATAAAGAGGTGTAAGTCTTGGTTTATAACATATCCTAGATTTATAACTAACAGATATTCTAACTTTTAATTATCACAATAAATTGCTCTTACGCCACTTTCAGGATAAATGGTCAAATTATTTCTCTTTTATTCCGATAACTTACTTGTGTAACATTTTATGGTAAGTGGTTAAAATAAACTTTACAGAAGTACCCCGTAAGCACGAAATGATTATAAGAGAAAATCAGCCCATGGAGTTGCCCCCGGATGTTGTTAGAGGTCTGTTAGATCTTGCGCGTGGTGTTGTCTTAACATTTTTTTTTCATAACATGATTTTTGAATTTTTCCAATAATGCCTGATTGCTCGTTATAACAAACTTGTTTCCAAAAAGGCATGTTGATTTTTCTTTTTCTAGAAAGATGAGAGAATTGAATGGGTCATATAACTTTATATTATTACTTAACAGCCCATGTAACAATTTGGCCTGAAGTTCGAAACATGTGTATTCATTTTATGTAATATTTTCTAGTGCTTTATCATCCTTTTTATCAATGCCTGTTTGATTTACTAATTGCTTTGTTTTTTTACCTAAATAACTTTCACAAAAAGATCAAAGTGCTTTCAGAAAAAATATTGACTGACATATTTCTTTAAAAATTAGCTGATAATTTGCTTTTTTATGATAACTTTCACATATCATTCCTTTTCATTTAATTCTACTTCTACATAAATACTTAAATTTTTCATCATCATCATTATATATTGAAAGAATGAGATCATTTTGATTGTTCTTAAATGTGTTTGGAGCCAATTGGCCTAAGATAACTATCTTAGCTCTATATATATATATATATATATATATATATATATAAATATATATATATATATATATATATATATATTATTAAGATATGATGGTCATATCTGGATTGCCCCATTCAGTCATTCAGTGGAACAAAGAAAACACAAAAATACACTCCACTATTATACAGTATTAAACCAAGCAATTAATAATTGGAACATTTAAAACTATATGATTTGTTGACATTTTTTTTGTTACATTTTAGTATGTACAGGGTTATTGGCATCTAAATACTGAGAGAGTATTATTGAACATACCAATTTGAACATAATTAACTTCCCATAGGGTAAGTTATTGTAATCGTCCAAAAATCGAAATTGAAAATTTTTGCATATCTTTACCAGGGGCGTAGCGTACCTTGGCAGGGTTCCGTATCACCTTAAAAAGGGTATTAATTTTTTAAAAAATATAAAAAAAAGCATAAAATAAGGAATATTTATTTATCCTTATCTATCTGTATATTTTCTAAAAATTTTACAAATGATTTCAAACATATATTTACTCTCCTCATCTTTTTTCAAAACAGTGAATCGTTAAGTATAGATATCTTCATTTTTTTTTTTTTAAGTTTTTACCTTTAGAGACGATTAGTGACAGATCTGATAAACGTTTCTCTCTTAAAGTTCTTAGGTAATTTTTGATTAGTTTTAATTTTGAAAAATCAATTTTGGCAGTTGCGATTGTAACTGGAAGGCTGAAGAATAAAATGCATGTTGTTATTACGTTAGGAAGTAGGAATTACTAAATATTTTGTTTTTAATATATGATTTCAAACACGTTGGTCATGAAGATTACCTGAGATATCTTTACAGTATTTAGTCTACAGTTTTCTAGAAACTTTTATTATCTCTTGATTTGGAAAAAAAAGTTTCTCCGGTTGTAATTTTTTGTGCATGCTTGTCGTAAAATACTAACGTCGCACAGGTTTTGAAATATTTGTTTAGTTACTTATAAAAATAAAAACAAATAAAATACACCTAATAATTGGGACCAACAATACATTCGCAAACTATGAATGATTGGCTTGGCGATCAAAATGATTAAGATGATTTAAATGATGATATTTATCTTAATCTAACTATAAATTTTTTTACCGCTTATACAATAATTTTATAAATTTTTGATGGAAAATATTAAGCTGGATTAGTTGTATAGATTTGTTCATAATACAATCCACAATAATATTAACTTATTGAAATGTCTTGTGGCCGTAAAATCTGCCACAGTAATTAATAATACAGCCTTATAGGCTTTATTATCAGCTAAAACACATGTATAATTGCCTATTCTCATTTGCTAAATATTATGGATATTCTTTTGAGTTCGAAAAGTAGATACACAGTTTATAATAAATATAAAAATCAACTTTAAATATTGCGCAGCCAAATATAAATTCTCTAAAGGGTTGGGCTTAAAAGTTGAAAACAGCGACCTTTTTTTTTTAGAAAAATTCGATAATAAAAGGAAATGCCAAATATGCCGAAAATTATTTAATTTTTTTCTTTGAAAATCGTTGTTTGGCTTTAAAGTTTTTATCCATTCTTGCTTTCGCTCGTTGGGGGCTCTCCTGACCTGGGGTTCCATATAATTGATGAGGCGGTAGTCACGCCCCTGATCTTTACGATTCAGGGGTTTCTGAACATTTTGGCATTCCTTAAAAATTGATGTATGTATGTGTGCGTGTGTGTGTTTTGAGTGACTGACACCATTGTGGTGTCGCCGGATGGCATAGTGTTAATATAGAAATCAAGGATCTAATAATTTATATAACCCTTAATATCTTTGAAATTAAAACGTGATTTTACTAAATAAAACTAATATAATAATAATCGATCATAACTCCAGAACTTACGACCGCTTTATCTCGGGTTCTAACAATCGATATTACAAGAAATTTGAAAAGCGCGTTAACAACAGTTCAGGCAGTACGAAAACGTATTGTTATGAAAAAGTTGTATGCAAAGTGATTAGTTTTTTTATCATTGAAATTACTAGTATTACAGGGCATTGTCATTAATATATTATTATTGCTTACCTGCATCGATAATCAGATTCAGAAAATGTGAAGATGTTGGAAAAGTCTTTGGCTGCGACGAGTATAAATCGTCAAAAAAATGCCATTCAACTACCTGTGGCCACGCGTGGTGTTGGTATTATTGCTGCACATGAGTACAAACGAATGTGTTTCATCAGTAAATACTGCACAAATTCATCCGACGATTCATCCGACGATTCATACGATGGTGACAATTCAATGGCACTTGAGAAAATTTGTACCATATATCAGTACTACAGGATTTGTTTGTATCTGGCATACTACAAATTGAACCTTGCGAATGTTTTAAATTTGAATATTGACATTTCCCAATCACTAAGTTGGGTCAACAGGGTACCCAGAGGGATGTATTATCTTCTTGAGTCTATTGGTAGAATTAAAGGATCGGTAAATGAATGGCATTCAATCACAATAGAGAGTAAAGCTATTCATGGAGAGGAGGCAGCTTTGTATTTGTATCCGTTCAATATTCGTGAGTACTTGATAAACCTCTCTGATCCGAATTTCAATAGTCAATACAGAAATCGATTCCACGAACTCAATCCTCTTCCTGGAGCTAAATGGTATAATGATCCAATCAACGGATGGATACTGCAGAATGCTGATGTCATATGGCCTGCAGATTATGAAGCAACATACTTCGAGGAGGACTTAAGAGCATTTAATATGGCACTTTCGCATGTTGAATTTAGAGAGCGGGAATTTTTAATTCCTTTTTCTTGGAATAGAATGGCAAGAATCACCGGTACAGTTTCAATGAATCCTTGTTCTATCAGACTAGAAGCTAAATTTCAGCTCCCACCAGATAAACAGAATAAGAACTCTAAACGCAATGTTCATCGTCGACCAACTGATGTTATGGTATACCAAAGTGATATTATAGATCGGTCTATTAATGATCAAGTCTGGTCACCAGAAGTTCGGATTTCTGGTTTGGATCTACAAATCGGAGCTGGAACGATGGTTGGCGAAAACTTTTCTACACCAACACGTCTACAGATCAATGGGTCGGTTACGACTTTCCTATATGTAAATCCTCTTTTATAATAATATCTGGTGAGCTTTGAGCTTAATATGAAAATGAAAGTGTTCATGTTAATAATAATGCACTTAGTTTGATTTTGATGTAAAATAATAAATTTTTCTATCTTGTTCAGTATTGCTTTTTTCTAACTGTGTATATTATTGTGAATTGTAATTCATATATAGCGTGAATGAAAAATATCTTAGTACACGAGTTTGAATTCAAATTTACCCAATCTGTAATATACGCATTACATTATATATATAAATATATATATATATATATATATATATATATAATATATATAATATATTATATAATATATTATATAATGTATTACAAGATATATATAATATATATTATTAATATATATTATATGTATCTTGAATGGAAATGTTTGCAGCCAATTGTCGAATAATAGAACAATAATAATGAACTATTTATTTCGTGGGAATCAAGTGAGGTGAAATGAATTTATTAGAAACAAATGGTCATGACGTTTTGTAAAGTTTTATAATCAACGAAATTTAATGTATATTTTTATACGTGGAAATATCTTTTTATATATTTAATTATTTCTGTATTGGTGACCTACGGCATTTACAATGAAGATAGCAATTGAGCATGGATCAAAAATTTAAAAAATATACACTTTGGTGCAACGCCCTAATCACTAGTCTTCCGTTGGCTACTTAAAAGCTACGCCCAGTCCTGGGATCATCGCGGGCTAACGCATTTGCTAGCCCTGACACCGGACTTCCGTCGGCATACTTATTCAGTATGTCCAGACCTTCGGTTATCGCTGGCACTATAATTAGTTCTGACTACTAGTCTTTTACAGGCCTATTTACGCCAAGACTTTTGTTCATAAACTGAAATCACCACCAAAAAGTTCATCGCGATTTAACCTCTCCTTGTTCTTTAACTCACCAAATCGTCTTTTGATACTTAAGATTTTGGAACTGGATCAGGATTGTATGTTGTTTTCAGAACTGGATTTAGATACTTCATCTATGTTATCTTCCGTGGATAGGAAACTGTCCGAGATACTCAATCGACAAGTTCGTATAATGTATAAACTAACTTCAATGATTATGCCAGGTGACTCTAATCCAGTTGTGGTGGACAACGATTGTGTTCATACCTTCGTGAATTAGTGTAAGACATAACATATCCTAAAAGATGTCAAATTCACAATACTGCTACAATCTGTCTTCCCATCAAATAAATATAACGTGTTTTTGCGCATCTTTGTGTTTCCATGTGAGGTAAACACTGAGCAGGGAGTATATGTGGGATTCAAGAGTCTCGTGAATTTGAGAGAAGCAAATGGTCATGTCATTTTGTAAAGGTTTATAATCAACGAAATTTTATATATACATATATATATATTTATGTATATATATATATATATATATATATATATATATTATATATATAATAATATAATAATATAATAATATAATATAATAATATATATATATATATATATATA